AAGACTACGTTAATCAGAGTTTGATCAGAGAAGCAGAATCACTTAATTAAATGTGACACAAAGACACAAAATGAGCTCCTGGGAAAATGGTGCCAACAGACTTGCTGGACACAGATTTGTAAAAACTGTGGCATCAAAATATTTTACTTTCCTGTATCTCTGCTTCCTTCTCTGATTTTTTTTTCCACTTTGCCCAACCTAAGCCAGGACCTTGGTATAAGCAGCCCTAACAGCAGCCCCCAGACTGGTGCCAAAAGTGCAGCCTCTGCTCTTCCTTACACCCTATTAGAACAAACTGTTGTTTTGAGTTGAAAGGTGCCAATCAAGCAGGACCCTCCAGAATGGCCATAGCTTGGCTTTCGGGTCGAAGTGGGGGGCAGTGTAGAGAGGGAGGAGAAAAGGGCACATGATATGGGGGCTGAAAGCAGGAGGGGGATGCTAATTTTCCTTTTCTGAGGCACCCACCTAGGAGTACCACAAGCTGAGGCCTGTTAACGGAGATGGGGTTTGAGGCTCGGGAAGAGGCAGCCATCCAGTGGCTAGGATAAAGGCTACCAGGCTCTGGTGAGGAAGAGTAGGATGTTTAAGGGTCTATGGATGAAGGATGAAGGATTGTGGCCCTTGGAATCCCAGCTTGCCCGGTGGTTACATGCAAAACTTGAGACCTTCACACTTTCTGCCACAACAAACTAGGGCTCCCTGGCTCTTTTCTTTTTTTTTTTTTTTAAAGATTTATTTATTTATTCATATGGAACTGGGGTACAGGCCAGAGATGTGGAGGGTGAGAGGCTTCACCAGAGACAGAGTGGGGAGCAGAACAGGCAGATCAACGAAGTACACTGCTGAGGGGAGCAGCAGGCAGTTAGGAGAGGTCTGCCGCGCCATGTGGTCTCCTCCGGGGCAGGCGGGAATCGAACTCATGCGGAAGGGGCTTTAGCTTCTCAGTGCAGGGCTTTAACCCGCTGCACCACCAGGGAGGGCCCCCCTGGCTCTTTTCTTCAAGGGATTAGGGCATGGATATCTTACCCCTTTCCCCAAACCTGGGAGACCCTCACTTCCCACACATCCCTTGTGGAGAGAAGGCAGTTTGATGCACCAGATAGTGCTGGCATGCACACCTGCATGCTACCTGGCATGGTCTTTCAAGAAACTCTCTTCTGACTTGACAACTGTAATTTCTTCAGGAAGGGGTTCCACCACTGTTTTGGCTGGGGGTGGGAGGGTACATCCGGGTGGTGTGTTGAGGAAGAGGGTATGTGGAGGAGCAGCTGGAACTACAGTGTATTGGATCATAAATGGATTTAAATGAAATTACTATGCAATCTATGAAATTTGTTCTTTGAAGAACAGTGTAAGAAACATTTTTACTCTTAATTCTAAAGTCCAAGCAGTAAACTAAATTCAACTGAAACCAAAAGTTTCTTCTCTAAGACACTAGAAAATACATATTGCCAAGACACCCAATTTACTCATCTACTAGAGGGATCCACCTACTAATGGAAACAAAATCTCATTTATTTTTAAAGTGATTATTAGCATTTAATAGGTGCTGGGTAACCAATGAGACGCACTTTCATGGAAGAGGGCCTTTTCTAAGAATCCTCTCCTCCCTCTGCAATGTCCCCAGCAATGCCCAAGAGAAACAGTAGGGGGCACTCTTAGGTCTGGTTCTGGAGTTTAAGAGCCGCGGTGTTATAGTAGCTAGATTACAATGGAGCTGTTGCAGTAAGATTTTCTGCTGTTTTCTAAAATGCTGTAGAATACATAAAAATAAAACATTAGGGATAAAAACCACTGACAAGAATTTCTATCATTTCAACAGAACCAGGAAAAATACAAAATAAGATGTCCAACAAAGTCTATTACTAAAAACAGTTCTTCCATTTTATACAAAGATGTAATGTTTAAACTATCCTGTTGTATTAGGCAAGCTCCCTGAATGACTAGAAATTTCTAATAATCACTGCACAAAGCGGGGAACTGTGAACTACACTACAGATGGGCGCCCTTTGCACCATCTTGCTGTGCTAGAGCAATTTCTGTCTTCAATAATAAATCCAATTAAGCACTCTCTCGTCACAGCAGGAAAAAGCACTAATCAGGAGATGGTTCAGCATGGTGCTGTCAAGTAACTGCTGCTAGCAACCTCAGGAATCATTACCACAGTATACAGGCAACTAAACTCAGTAAATGTATGTTGGCTTCAGATATCCTGCCACCTGAGCTGGCAAAGCAGAGAGGATAGACTATCTCAAAATATCCTTCAATATGCCTCTTACACACTCCCAAATGATAAAAAAAAAACTCAGTTTGTAACTCAGACCTGTGTTCTGGAACAGAGACCAACGAGTTCCTGCACAACTAATTTTATGTAGACTATAATACAAACTTTATTTATGATCTTCTCATTCTTTCTGAGAAATTATAAATAAAATATTTTCATTTTCTAGTCTCTGGAAAGGGAATTTTTAAAAGGTCCTTTGACAGAAGAAAAAGAACTTACCATATTTATCCTAACAAGTTTTTCTTCAACCTGTACTCAGGATTCTGTCAACCGAGAGAAATCACCTAAAGCCCCTTACTTTGAAAATCAGTACTTTTCCCCTTATGCTCAAAGTCAGCAAACCACACAAATGTCAGAGTTGTTAAACTAATACCACTATAGGCTATAGGGCACCCTCTGGGTGCTTTCCCAACTTAACAGGCCAGTCAGTGACAAAATTCATAAATCCTTTCAGTTTTCACTGCTCTCTAATTCTGTGTCATTATTATCACTTGAATAATAGATAAATGTGGTGACCTACTTTTCTACCAATGTCTGAGATCAACTGTGATAAAAAAATGAGACCAAAAACTTAACGGTTTTCAGTGAGCCATAAGTAAATACTTAATACTCTTTCTCTGTATAAGTAGCTACCAGAATTTGCTCTATCAGTGGACTAAATGAACAAGCTGGTTACACCTCAGCTGGAATTCCACAAGAAAATAAATCCTTTCCTACAATATTCCAATGGAATGTCTAAAAGGAGTCTCTAACTACTAGTTTAGCCCAAATTCAAGAAGAATACAAAAAATTTACAAATTGGGAAAATGAAATAAAGAATATGAATATTACACAATGACATCTGAAACAGTTTCAAAGTAAGAGGGAATAACTTTTTAAAAAATTAACATGAGGCCCTCCCTGGTAGCGCAGCGGGTTAAAGCACAGCCCTAAGAAGCTTAAGCCACTTCCACATGAGTTCGATTCCTGCCTGCCCCGGAGGAGATCCACATGGCGTGGCAGACCTCTCCTGACCCGTCCGCTGCTCCCCTCAGCAGTGTACTTCGTTGATCTGCCTGTTCTGCTCCCCACTCTGTCTCTGGTGAAGCCTCTCACCCTTTTGTATCTCTGGCCTGTACCCCAGTTCTGTATGAATAAATAAATAAATCTTAAAAAAAAAAAATTAACATGATTCTGTCTTTTGCAGCAACTTGGATGGAGCTGGAAAAGATCATGCTTAGTGAGATAAGCCAGAAAGAGAAAGAAAAATACCAGATGGTTTCACTCATAGCAGGAGTATAATGGACCAGGTGAGAAAATAGTAAGAATAATGAACAGCCATATACCAGAGACATTTTGTGGGGGTGGAGTGGGGAATGGGATCAAAAATGGTGGGGGGGGGAGTGCATGGGACTATGGTGATGGCACATGTGTGACTTGGTGATGGGAAACCCGCGGGGATTACTATTGAGATTAAAAAAAAAATGTACACAATGATGTAAAAGTAAATTGTTATATTATTTTAAAAAAAACAATTAACATGATTCTGTGAGAACTGAGCTCTTCACTGACTTGTAAAAGCAGCCCTCAGGAATACAAGCTACTCCAGATATTGCTTAGAGAAATTCAGTATTTATAGATTGCTTTAAATGACACAGCATACATGCAAGTAACATCATTACCATTTTATTAATTGAAAACAGGCTGAAATGAGTTGGGGAACTTTTTTTTTATTACAAAAGTTTATTTTTACATCATTTTGTACATTTTTTTTCCCCATCTCGATTGTAATCCCCGCGGGTTTCCCATCACCAAATCACCCATGTGCCACCACCATAGTCCCGTGCATTTCCCTCCCTTCCCCTCCCCCCGTTTTTGATCCCGTTCCCCACTCCACCCCCACAAAATGTCTCTGGTATATGGTTGTTCATTATTTTTGTTATTTTCTCGCCTGGTGAGTTGGGGAACTTTTTTAAGGTACCAGAGCAAGGAATATCAGAAAAGATTAACTCCAAAATCTGTGCTCCTCACTATTACCACCATTCCCTTCCAGAACTTGCCACCCTTGGCTATTCCTGCCTTGATTTCTAAGATCGTCTATCCAATCAAGCCCTAGATTTATTCTCTAAATGTTCCCTTTTAGAAGAGTCTTCCAAATATCTATGTTTCAGTATTGTTACAAAACAATAACAAATGATTTAATTTCCAATTCTCACTTTCTACGACTCATCCCTCAACCTAAAGGCTAACATCTGAAGCTAAATGCAATAAGCATATTCCCATAAAATGTCAGAGGGATCTTGAAATAGCAAGACAAGTTACTTTTCTATTAAATTTTTCTTATCAGAATGTGAACTGAACCATGAGTTAGTTTTCTGGATGTAATAAGTACTGGTTTGTGACTAAAAAGTAGCTTTAGTACCAAGGAAGCAGAGAATGGCTTGGAAATGTTCCCTGAATCCTTCCCTCCCTTCCCAGGTTAATAGCAGCAGAGGTGGCAGACCAAACAGTCTAACCAGGCTTCCTTACCTGTAGACGACAGCAGGGATGCGCTTCCAGGACCTGAAGCTTGCTACACTTTCTAGTTCTTTGTCAGTGATCCAGGCAGGTACTATGAGCTCCTGTGGATAACTACCACACAGCCTAACAAAAAAGGTGAGAAAGAGGGAGAGGGATAGGAAGAGGGAGGGAAGGGGTGGGGGAGAGAAAGACAGACAGACAGACAGACACACACACACACACACAAGGTGAGTAACAGTAAGGATGCTGATTCTCTGTCTTGACTTTTTTACTTTGTCACTAACAGGCAAGAGTATACACAATACCCTGGGTTCTTAGCTCCTTAACCAATGTTAAGAGCTGAATACAGTTATTAGTTTTTCCAGTGAAAAATGAAAAGCTGTGGTAACTAGTCACAAACAGACCAGGAAAACAGCTATCACAATTTGAGCCATCTCAAAGGGACAACAGAAGGAGTAATGTTTTCAATTGCTATAGGAAAACTTAAAAGGAGAAAGATATATTAATTTAAGTCCTCTGGACAATTTTTTTTAATTGGATCACAAAATTATAGTAGTTAACTGCCCTCCCCCACCAAAGTATTTATTTTATCTTTTAAAGAAACCAGTAATGGAAAGTATTTAATAATGGTTACATTAATATATAATGGTTAATGATCAAAGCTGTGAAATTAGTTTTAGGTCAATGTATTAAATAACAGAATTATATTTATGCCTACAAGGATTTGGATTAAAATTAGTCATAAAAGCCAGCTCCTAAATGGTTTATCACTGTTCATGAGATCACTAATCCTACGTCTAACATGGTGCCAAGTGACAATGGGACCAATGGACTGCCAGCCTACAGGTAAACACAATTATTATCCAGACAAGCATTTGACTGGAAGAAAGAAGCTTGGGGGCTTGGGAAGGGGGGTATAGAAAGAAGGTCCTAGGCTCCTGTTAGTAAAGATCAGTTTCCATCTCAGTGGTGATAACAATGTAAACAGAAAGCTCAAAAAGTACTCTGAAGATCATGCAGTTAGACTTAATAAATATTCCATTTGAAAGAAAAAGTCTAAGTTCAAATGTTCTGCCACATGAGAATTGGGGTTTCCACAAAGGTTTTTGGCTGAGAACCACAGTCCACAGAGACTCATATAACTCACTTGTACTTCTCATTGATGTTGGAAATCCTCCAGGCATTGTTCATATCAAAACCCATTCGCTCCACTTCATTTTTAAACCTTGATGTTACGTGCTCCCCTAGGAGACAAAGACAAAAGGGAGAAATGAATGTTAATCTGAAAATAAGTAGAGCAAAAGCATTTTAAGGAATAAAAGCATCATTTAAAAAAAGGTTAGTTTCAGTTTAAAAATCCATCAGCAAAAGATTATGAAGAACAAAAAAATTAGTTTAGATCAAGAATTATATCATCTCACCTAATTGCTATTACCAACTCTGAATGCAGTATTACTGAGCTCATTTTATAAAGAACAAAACTGAGACTAAGAAAGGCAGTTATGGCAAATTCATCTGGTCCTAAAGCTACATTCTTGTCACTATACTGGTCACTTTCCTAGTTCTACACTCAGAACAATGGCATTCTAGTAAGAACTAAAAACAATTTCACCATGAGGGTCTCCCTGGTGGCACAAGGGGTTAAGCACAACACTATGAAGCTATCCCTAGCCACTGCAGCCTCAATTTGATTCCCACCCAAGGAGCTGACCCACATGGCACAGTAAGACCTCTCCTGTCTCACCCACTGTGCCACACAGCAGTATAGCAGTATATTGCAGTCAAACTTCCTAATCTGCTCCCCACTGTCTCTGGTGAATCCTCTCACCCCTCCACCTACACCTCTGGCCATATATGCATAGATAAAATAAATCTTGAAAAAGAATTCACCAAGAATAGTAATATGGATTATAACTCATCAGAAATTGGGCCAGATATATGAATTTGACTTTTCTGCATTTTAAAAGGATCATATTTTATATTAGATTAATGCTCTCAACAGGACTTACTTAAACTATTTTTCTATAGTGAAATGTACAAATAAATCTAAATAATGGATAAAGCTACAAATAATGCATTGTCAGCTTAGATCATATCAAATCACAGAGTTTAAAAAAAATCTTCCAATTTTTAGAGGTTTATAAATTGCAGAATTAACTGGGGTGGGAAAAGTACATTGGACTGTGGTGTTGGCACGCGGGTAAATTGGTGAGGGGAGGACATGGGGATTACAACTGAGCTGGAAAATACACAAAATGAAGAATGATATAAAAAAATTATGCTTACGGTGTAATAAAAATAATGATGCTTTCTAGCTCTCGTAGTGTAGTTACTATTTAATTTTCTCATGTTTGTTTGGAAGTTGATCTTCCTTATATGTAAGGCAGATAGGCTGAAGAAATTGAGTAAAAGAATCAAAATTCCACAGCACATTCTCACCTCCCTACTCACTGGTTGCTTGTATGTTAACTTTGGTAGTTCTGTTTTTCTATATTTATGAAGAAGGGAAATGATCCTAACACATATAAATAGATTGTGATCATTGTAAAAAATAAATAAATAAATTGCAGAATTGCAGATAAGAGATAACAGAAACCCCCCTCCCCCCAATGCCCAGCAATCTCAGGAAATATCTATTATTTGTATTTTACTATTAAGTAAAGTGCCGAACATCCACCCAAGTAAGTATACATTTTCTCTACTGAAGCATCAAAGGCAGAAGTGAACCTAATATGAAAGTCATTAGATCTGAAGTAACTTTCTTACTTGAAAACAGAATCGTAGGGCAAACTCTTTAAAAAATAAAAAAAAAAAGACCATTAAGCAGCTCCTTTGATTTCCAGGATAGAAAACAACAATTACTTGAATGAAGCACAATTCTACTGAACTACCTTCCATTTAAACGATTTTTCTTGAGCTTAAACTCAGTACTATATGTTTCCTAAGGGAGAGCCATAAAAAGATGAGGTTTGGAGACACAGGAAGAAATAATCAACTGAATCTACCCCATCTTGGAAATTTTTTAAAAGCAATGGAGGCTTCCAAATAGGAGAAAAGCTCTCTGAATCTATCTTACAAGCTGCAGATAACTTTGACCATCAAGAGTGCTAAACAGGGAGTCTTTTACTGATAACCCCAATGTAAAAACAGTAAAACTATGGCAACTTCCAAGTTTATTAACTAATGAGAGCATTTTCCCACCTTGGGATACAGTTACAGCTTTTATAAAAGGTAAATGTCCTCTATTTAATGGTCCTTGACATTGTATCTCTATCTCTATAGTAAATACAGATACCTCTTAAAGTATCCTATAATTAATAATCGCTTGGAAATTGTCACCAATATTGGCAATTCAGTACACTGAACTACTGCCTAAAAGAAGGCTTAGCAGCATCAGGCAAAGTATGAAATTCTGAGCTGTTCACAAAGAAAAACATACTTAGTAGGGAGTACAGAAAATTTATTATTTCAAGCTCCTTGAGAACAAGTTTTGTCTCTGCATCTGTAAAGCAGTGACTTCATAAACTTTGAAAGTGCCCATAGCACAACACACAGTAAAAATCGTTTTCTATCGCAATTCCATACAATACACGTTTACTTTTTAAAGGGTTCACATCTACCTTTACTATAATGTGTGGTGCATTTTGATATTTACTATCTTAAAAATTTCGTTTCATATTTCTTAAAATTGATTACATGACATCCCTAATGAATTACATAGCCTACAGTTTGAAAACCATTACTTTAAAAAAAATCTCACAGCAGGCCTTATACAGATGAGTAATTCAATTGTGGGGTTTTTTTGCTAAATTTGTGTTAGAAATTCCATTATGTTTATGTTTTATTCAGCTAGAAAAGTGAATGCCAACCATACCTACTGCTGAATTTCCTTGAATTTTCCTCTCAGAATTGATTCAATGTTAGATATGCTGTAACATCCTATTTCAAATATAAGGGTCATAAATTTTTGTCTAGTTTTATATTTCTATTTCAATCCTTTCTGTCTGCCTCTCATATCCTCAAATGAGGAATCTGTCTCTTTTAAACATTTAGTATTTCTTGTACTACAAACAGTTCAGCTATTCTTTCTTTTGCAGCAATGAACATGTTTTGAAGTAATGAGTCTATCATAATCATGATGTCTATTAAAGTCTAAAAAATTTTCCCCAAAAAAGTCTAGTTCCCTGGCTGACTGAGTATTCATACCCACAATCATACAATTTAAAGTTCTTACTCAGGATCTAAGGAAGAAAAAAAGTACCAGTGCCAGAGAACTTGCCCATTAAGATTTTCAAATTTGGAAAGAGGAATCATTCTTTTCTATGAATAAAGGTCCAATACAGTCATCTAGATACACAGTTGCTGGACTGTGTCCAAATTCAGAAGACAGGCTTTTACTTTATACTACATACACAGCCTCACAACAGTGTACTGTCATGATATTCGTGGTTAAACATGATGAGCTTAACAAGCATTTCACAGACAAGAGTTCAGTAATTAAACCCAGTCATCTCTGAGAACTCATGATTAATACCAAGAAGTCAGCTACAATAAGAAGGAAGTTAAGTGTATAGGTGAGAAGCTTTAAACTTCTAATCTGTTCCTTTCTTAGACTTTGAAATGAGGCTAAGAGGAGAGTCAGGTGTTTTACAAAAGCTTTTGTAAATTTCACAGGTCATTTCTAATAATAACATTGACTTCATCCAGAGTGGATTAAAACCTAGAGCTGTGGTCACAATATAGCTAACATAGCTGGCTTACCTGAATTTAACAGTGAAAATTTATATGAATAACAAGGTAATGATGTTATTTTCCCATTTCCCGCTTCTCTGACACATTCCACTCTTAACAGATTTGGCAGAGAAGAATTCATAAACAGCTTTATTAACCAGTGAAAGAACAAACTAACTTCCACCCTTCGGGTCCTATGCTTGTGATCACATGCGTTGGGGCAGACTATACAAAGGCATATCCTGAAATAACTCAAGCTCATCCTAAAGATAACTTGTAAAAATGTAGTTGTCTACTATGTTCATATTTAGTCAGTAATACTGTAGATACTATCAATATTCAACATTGTTGGATATACATAGAAGAACCAGGTTAACAGGACTTAAAATGCCACCATGGTATTTTTTACTAAAAGTACAGTGAAAATATATAAAAGGAAAAGAGAATATATGTCAAATTCCATGCGACTGGTAACAGATTAACTTAAGTAGATTAAGATAAAATGCAACCTTTACTCACTGTTAAGTTACAACTAGTCAAGATAGGTTCACCCTATACATGCAGAATAATTTTGCAAACATGGCACAAAGGAGGCACATTTATTGAACTTTATAACAATAACAGATTTGGTCTTCAGGATATTCAGACTAGTTTGAGCAAAAAGAACAAGAATGTCTTCGTTTGAAGAACAAAACAAACTGAAACAGAGAGTAAACATCCAGTGTTGTTTTTAAATTATTATTTCTTAAATCAGTCCTTGCTCCCCAAATGTTTCCATTCATCGCAAATGCACAACAGAGAACACTGTAGACATCAGTTTCTTCTTGATTTCATCAAGAAGGGTAAGACCTAGGGACCAAAGTCATGCCAGTTAGAACTGTCACCCATAATTAAAAGTATTCTGGCACATCTAAGAATACTTAAGAGCTGGCTTAAATTCAAAAGAAACAACTAAAATTCCCAAGGGAATAAGAAATCATCTGAAAAAGATACTGAGTTATCAGTCTGAGGCTGTGAGAGAACTAGCTAGAAGAAATCAAGTCTTACTGACTAAAGGCAACCCGAAACTAAAGATTGCCTTTTGGAGTTAGGAATCTTAAATCAAAGTTCTTATATGTTTATGTAAAAAGATGCACTCAAGATGCACTCATTAACATCACTGACCTAGGAGACAAGACTAAAAATGTAATAAATAAAATGCAATAGTTTTAAAAATGTAGATTGTGCATTTCATTGTATGTAAATCTTACTTTAAAAAAAAGAAAAACTTAAGAGCCATAAACCACAACAATAACAACAAAATGAAAAATGCAATGGGTGGATTCTCAATAAAGAAGAAAAAAAGGGAAAGAGAGATTCAATGGTTAAGGGAGTGAAAAGACAGGGTAAGAACATTCTCATAACCCTCCAAGGATTATGTGATCTCTCATGGGTGCACTTTGGGTTCCAATGGCCTGGACAAGGTTGGGGGAAACCTGGATTCTTGCGGCTCTCCTAGAGGTAGATGTCATTGTTTTTCAGTTCTGTATCCCCAGCACCGCACATAGTCAACTCTCTGTAGGTAAGAACTGGTTTTAAGTCCTGTTGTCACTGCCTAGCAAGTGAGAACTGACAACTGGCTTTATATGCATATTTCCATTTCTTTGGTTTCCCCCAAAAGGGAGACCGATTTGACAAGGTGCAGTAAATCAAATAAAAGTATGTATCAAAGCATTTTTAAAATTAAGATGGGCCATCCCTGGTGATGCAACGGGCTAGGACACAGCACCGCAAATGAGCTGCAGCTGCGTCAGTGCTAATTCAATCCCCAGCCCCGAGGTGACCAAATGGCGACCTGCCCGCTGCTCCCCTCAGCAGTGTACTTCATTGAGCTGTCTATTCTGCTCCCAACTCTGTCTCTGGTGAATCCTCTCACTGCCCCTGCAACTCTGGTCTATACCCCAGTTCTGTATGCATAAATAAATGTCTTTTAAAAAAATAATAAAATTAAGATGATGCTTATGTTTTTTAATTAAATAGGAATATGAGTCAAAAACTTCAATGAATGAATGAGCCAGAGAACAAATACAAGCATGGCCAGATTAGCTTTGGATATTTAAACTGATCCAGGAGATATACTGTTAAGATAAATTTGAATTAAAAACATAAAAAGGCCTCCTTAGTGGTACAGGGATTAAAGATTCAGCACTATCAAGTGGCACTGTCAATGCCATGGCCCAGGGGATTTAACTCACCTGGCTCAACAGACCTCTCCTATCCCACCCCTTGCTCCCCTCAGCAGTGCGTTCTGCCAGTTCTGCTCCCACTCTGTTCCTACACTCCAGTCCTTGCATGCATAAATAAATAAATCTTTAAAAATATAAAGAAAGAAAAAAGCCCCAGCATAAACTTCAATGGAAGGACGTTCACAAAATTTCACTGCTTAGTAATAACAACATTTTACTTCCAAGCTGGGCACACTAAAAATTCAGTGTTAGACCAGCAAACTTCTATTATGATAACATAAAGTTTATAGACAATGGCATGTAAAGTAACAACTGCATGCAAAGTAACATAAACTTGGTCACAAAGCTCTTTCTGAGGAAGAAAGGTAGTGAGAGTTACAAAGATTTTATGAGGAACCAAGAAGCAGGAGTTCCAGTACAGATTTAGCTTCTCTATTTGTCCTCTGTTTCATCATCTATGGAATTAAAAGAATGACAACAGGTAATCTATGACTGAAAAACTTGAAAAAAGGAAAAGACCATTTTATATTTTACTTTTCTATGGCCTAACCTCACAACTTTGCTCAGGCTATCTCTGTTCTATTCCCTATTAACTAACCAATAATGTTAATATTCAACATTTAAAGCTTACTCAAAGTCATTGTTAGCACAAAGTATTTCTAAATGTAAATATGAAATCCAGAGCTTCCTTCTGTTTGGCTTTTATAACACCCATCAAACTTTATACAGTTGTCCATAGGTACCTTAGATTATGAAGCCAAACTTAGTGTTCCTCCCTTTCTCTGAAAGGCTAAAAACATATTCTACCTATTGGGTTTAGAAGAATGATGAGGCCATGCTAAAGCTCCATAAAGCACACACAGGATGAATGCATGAATACTCAGGTGTCTCATTTCATGTTAAGGGTACTTTAAGTGGCAAGTCAATAAAACCACCAAGTGTGCATTTTATAAAGACCTACCTGGTCTGCACAGGTCTCCGTGTTGCTCTTTTTCACTGGCATAGACTTCCATGCACCAAGCATGATATGCAAATGAGAACAGATCTTCTATTTTAGCAGGTGGTCTGATTGCATTGTTCAATCTCTTAAGCCACTCTTGACACTGCTCAAAAGTTGAGAACTGACACCTTTATAAAGTCAAACCAGTATGAATGTAATCAGAAGAGAGCAGATAAAACTGAAGGCATTTCAAAGTTCCTATTCACAGAAGCTACCCTGCAGTCAAGAAAGCTTTAGAGGCAGCCATTCACACATTATTGTCACTAGTAATAAGAACAGGGTCAACAAATTTATCCAATGGTGCAAAATTCTAAAAAGAAAGCTAAATATGAAAAGCCTGATTTTTTTAAAACTAGAGAAATCTCTTCTGATAATAATGACAATTAAAAGTAAAATGGCAATCACTGCCTTCTGTGAATGGGTTTCATTCTACTTCTTCCAAAGCTGTTTGATTGTCCCACTTGAAGAAACGGGTAGAGGAGATTTTTGTCAAGACATTAGGCCAAGCGAAAAATGGAGCACTACTTTTGTTTGGCCAGTTAGGAAATATTTTAAAATTTGTCCATTAACAATTAGAGTGAGTCAGCATCTTTAGAACTAAACTAACATAATTACAATTAAACTTTCAACTGTGATCACATAAAGAACAAAACAATTTTCACTACCAACTGCAATTTTCAGTATGTATATAATTTTCAGTATGTATTTAATTTTCAGATTAAAATAGTACAAAATATGCACTTTCAAATGCAGTGCTTAAAATTGAGTAATAAGCAAACTTTTCAAACTGTGAGTTGTAGCCAAAATCTATCAAAAGCAAGTCAACTCTTAATAGCTAAAAAAGCACCTCAAATACTTACATTAAAAAAAGGAGGTCACTTAAACCTCTTTCCCATCCTCATCAATGTGGCTCATCAATATGCCAACACACAAATTAAGTTTAATGGCACTCCAGAAGAGTCAAAGAGATAAAATAAAAACTTGGGGAACTTAAAGCTTGTAGTGCTATCAAATTATCAAATACAGACATTTTGTCACCATTATATTAAAGATTAGATCAGATAGAACCAATAATGGATAAAATCTGGAGAAATTCAATGAAAAACATTTACATGTTAAAATGTCCCCAGAGACTGTTAATTAGTTGCAAGGGAAAAAACAAATCTTATACCAAAAGCAGGTTGTTCCTTAAGAGTGGTCAAAATTAGCAATCACTGATTAATTAAGGGACAAATGGAAATGGACATAGTTTACCTCCAAAAGTAAAACAATATCTTGAGAAGGACACCTCATACATACAATCTTCTAGCTAACAATATACATCCTCAATTTAATCACGAGAAACATTCAACAGAAACAAAATGAAAAATATTCTACTAAAATGAAAGTATTCTTCAAAATGTGACTGTTGTTAGATAAGGACAGGGTGAAGAATGTTCCAGATTAAAGACTACAGAATGGGGCCCTCCCTGGTGGCGCAGCAGGTTAAAACACTGCACTGAGAAGCTAAAGCCACTTCCGCATGAGTTCAATCCCCGCCTGCCCCGGGAGGAGACCACATGGCGTGGCAGACCTCTCCTGACCTGCCCGCTGCTCCCCTCAGCATTGTACTTCGTTGATCTGCCTGTTCTACTCCCCACTCTGTCTCTGGTGAAGTCTCTCACTGCCCCTGAGTCTCTGGCCTGTACCCCAGTTCTGTATGTACAAATAAATAAATCTTTAAAAAAAAAAAAAAAAAGACTACAGAATGATGGTAATATATGACCTTGACTGGATCCTGGTCTTAACAAGGTAAGGGTGGGGGAAATGCCATAAAAACATTAGGTCAGTTACAAAAAAATTGGACCATGTCTAGTAGATTGGACACAAGAATTATGGGCATAAAATTTTGGGTTGTTTGAAAAGTCACGACGCATTTTTTTCTATATTTTCTAAAAAGTGTATCAATACTTTTCTGACAACCCAATAGCAAAGCAAATCATAACATTATGGCTTTATTAAAAAAAAAAAAGTGCCAATTCTCAGGAAAGCACACTGAAGTATTTCGGGTGAAAAGCCATTATTAAAGTGAAAAAACAAACCCCTTCCCTGAAAAAAAGAAAGTAAATGGGGTAAAAAGCTAATAATACTAATATCCTTAGAACTATCTGCAATACTTTTGTAAATTTTTTAAAAGATTTTTTTTTATGCATACAAGAACCCCAGAGATGCCACCAAAGACAGAGTGGGAGGCAGAACAAGCAGGTCTACTGAAATACACCACTGAGGAGAGCAGCAAACAAGTCCCTATTTTTGTAAATTTGAAATTATTTCCAAATTTAGAAAATAACTTTCAACAAAGCAAACTTTCCTAAAGATAAACTATTCCAGGTAATGACTATTTAGAAAATATTCCCAATAAGGTTCACCTGTGAAAGCTATTTTTATTACCAAATCATGGGTCCATTCTTTAAAAATACTTTCCAGGGGCCTCGCTAGTGAGCCATGAGGGTTGTCTCAAGTGCACTATGAAGCTATACGCAGCCACTGCAGCACAGTTAGATCCCAGCCAGGGTGACCCACATGGCACAGCAGACCTCCTGCCTCACACTCTGCTCCCCTCAGCAGTGTATTTCAGTAGATCTGCCTGTTCTCCTCCCTATTCTGTCTCAACCCCCGATTCCTCTCAACCCCCTCACGGCCCCCACACCACTGACCTACACCCCAGTTCCTATATGCATAAATAAACAAATATTTTTGAAAAGAAAAGAAATACTTTCCACACTAAACAACAACATAAACACACCTCATACCTGATAACTTTGCAGTCTTTGCAAGTTAAATGAAGCTGAAATATATCTCGGCATTCAACACTTTCTATAAGCTGTAAAGGAACCTGCAATTTAAAAAGATGAAGTCTCAGTCAAAAAGACATTGATCCTGCAGTTCTTCAAATGTGTCTAACAAAAGTAATTAGAAAAGCTCTACAGAGGGAAAAACCGAACTGCGAATTTATCCACACCAGTAATATTCAAGTGATTCACTGCAGAGTGAATTAAAGTTTCCCTTTCTCTATATAAATCAATGGCATAGTGTGTTGTCATAGCATGAAGAGGAGGTACAACCTTTGGAAGAAAAAATATCTCTCAGGCATCAAACTCCCAAGCTCATTAAAATAATAATTTTAGACACTATATTGAGCCATGACCTTCAGTAACACAAAGCTAAAAGGTGGAAATCCTGTTGTTTATAGAAAAGAACTCAAACCAAGATACCAGTAGAACTTTGCTTGTCATCTGTCTCAAATGAGAAAGTGAGTTTGTGTTCTTGTGTCAGCTAAGAAGCATTCTGAAAAAGGCTGGAAGTCTAAATTGTCTGCTTGTTCTAAAACTATCCAGGTCTGATTTGCTTCAAAAGAATAGTTTAAGAGTCCCGGATGCTACATGGAACTTGAGGTGTAAGCAAGCAGAATGGATCTCCTCCTGACAATCTGGTATTGAGCACAGGTGTAAGAACAATAGTGGAGAGGGGTCAAAGAAGAGAGACAGATAAGAAGAAAAGCATTTTAACAAGGTCACAAATCCTTACATTGACATGAGATTCCTCCCCTATTCCTCAACTTCCCCTGTCTCATCCCCTACCTTCAAAAACCTATTTCCAAAACTTCTTAAAAGAGTCTGGTAAAACAATAGAAAATCTCACTTTTTTGAAAAGGAGTGGACCACAGCCTTTTGTATCACATTAAATCAAAATGTAGCTCTCAGATTTTCAAAAGTTAATTTAGCATGAGAAGAAGGATGTATCTCCTCCAACAATAAAACAATAAAAGAGTGATTCCTGTCCAGGATGATTTGCTTCAAAAGATGTTAGCTGAGCCAGTTTCAGAAACATGCTTCCTACAAACCCTGCCCTACCTATGCAGTTACCAGAGTCAGCAAAGAATTCTCAGAACAACATAGCAATCAAAAAGTAGCCCAGTGCTGGATGTCTGAGACAAAGAAATAGAACCTGGGGCAAATAAGAGATGAAAACAAGATAGTAACACTAAGATAAATGGCTGGGGTTGTTTACCTTATGACCAAAGCCTTTCTGGTTCTAAATCTGTAATCTACAAAATTCACTTATACTTGTAACTGGACTGAGAATAAGAGAAAGTCTAAAACATATTCCTTGTGTTCTGAGACAAAAGGAACTTGCAGCTCTCTGGTTTTGTTTCAGTCCTTAACTCCAAGGAACTAAAGAAACTGCAAGTGAAGTGGCAAAAATTCTTTCCAAGACCTATATACCTAAGAAGGAAAAAAAAAAAGCAAAACAGTGTATCAGTAACAATAAATTGTAAAGAAGGAATAGGAGACCAAGAAGATAGAGATTAGAAGATGATTTATTTTCCAACCAGTCCTTTAGGGGGCCTGTAACAGATTGTTGTTGGGTTTTTTTTTTTTTCAATCTACCTTAAAATCTTATTTGCCCCCAAAATCTCCCCCAAAAAAGTGGCCACCAGGCTATCAATCAAGAGGTCTGTGTTCTACTTACAGTTTTAGAAAATTTTGGCTGATTCCTGATTTCCTTGGATAAGTTTCCAACCTAACTATATATAACCAGTTTCTGCTTTCTCTGGATGGTCCCTACTTAGAAAGTCACATATGACAATTTAGGACCCATACACAGCAAATGGAAAGAGCCTAGGGTAGAGAGTGAGCTTCACAAGTCTACATGAGAAGTGGCTCTATCGGCAGTCTCCTGCAGCAATCCAAGTCCCCTTGGATCACCTTTCCTTAGAATTAAGAAACCTGAAAACCAAATAAAGCTGTTAGCAGCTGTTGGAGGGAGTAGACCAGTCTTTGTTACAAAGAATATTAAGTTTTATGTCCTTCCTATCAGACCAAGGTACTGTATCCAGACTCCCAGAAGAATGAAACATCTCAAAAAATAGAACATACCTGCTACCTAAAATTCATTTGATATACAATATTTGTTTAATACTGCAAATTTAAGAAAGAATTAAAATGTTAGTTGCTAGTATGCAGATACCAGCAAGTCACCAAAACAAACATGTGTACAAGTTACAGATATGGAAAACAGCAGGCTTTAATGCTCATGCGGATAGTCAATGCAGTAAGAATGTGTATGTAATGACTTAATAGCAAGTAAACATCCCCCTTTTTCTTTCTTTCGACATTCCTCCCTTCCCATTTATTTCCACAGAATGCTACCTCTTCTATTCATTTAGCAAGAACTGGTCGTCTAACCAGTCCAACCAAAACACACTTAGTTTCTATATAGGTTCACTCCATTGCTCTAAGCCTCTGAACTTTCCTTACATTTGAAGAGGATGTCTTGCCTTTTCTGTAACTAGACTTATCCAATATTCAACAGTACTTACAAGTAAAGAATTACATATTCAAGAACCTTGCCACTTTATAGCCCAGCAAGGTTAAACCACTATATTATATGCTACTAGTAAAATTAGGAAGAGATTCCATGTCCATGCCATCTAGCCAAGGTTCCTTCCATTATATATAGTGCAGCTTTCTTTTTTCCCTCTAAGAGAACCTTCCCTTCCATAGGAGAGCTGTTTTAATTTTTCTTTGACAATTAACAGGCCTCCCCACCATGAATCTCAAGAAGAAAATAGATGTGAAAGAGTAGCAAAAAATCCAAAATTGCACTTGAATCCTCTTTAAAGTATACTATTATGTTTTACAGCCTGTTGTTATGCTTTGTAGCAACTCCTTTCTTTTAAAGCTCTTTTTATAATCCAAATGAGCAACCCCTTTCTCCTCTACTTTATAGTTGCCAGGTAATTCCATCTCCCTTTATAGTGCTTTTCTGTTTATAATTTCTACCAGTCATGCTCAAAACAATAAACACACTCAGTGCTGTTAATTCCTCAAGAGGCAAAAAGTTACATCATGGGCACTAAAACCTCTACGAGCATCAATCCGAAAAAGCAGAAGAGCAGCAGTTTAAAAATGTAGTATACATGCACATAGTACTATGACATTCCAGTGTTACAAGGGAAATTTTATGCTATCATACCCTACTATATTTATCTCAGTTCATTTAGGGGAATGTGTTTGTGCACATTTATATATTATTTTTCAGCATCAAAATATAAAAGTAGAATAATTTCATTATTTAACAAAAATTATAATCCAAATGAGTAATTCTAATCTCTTATACACATTTGAAGTAAAAATGTCATTAACAGAGTGAAAATACAGCAAGTAATGAGTCTAAACCTAATTCTGTAATGAGCTATAAAGAATATGTGGGCACTGATTCTTTTCATTTAAAAACCAGTAAGAAGAAAACCATCACAGTTTTAAACCCAAATACTTTATTGCTCATCACTGATATTTACAAGTTACAATCCCAGTCCTGGTTTCAGAGACTCTGCGACAGTGTATGAATACTGAAGCTAAAGTGCAAAGAAAATACACCTCTTGATGCTTAGGGGACAAAGATTTTTGTTGCATATAGTTAAGACAATGGAAACATGAAAAACATACTGAAAAAGGTATTTCCAGTTTATATAACTTGATGACCTTTTATATACTAATGTTAATTTAATAATTTCTGGTTCAAATTCAGTTTCTAATTTTTGAAGGTCACAATTCCATCTGTTGAGGTGAGGTGAGGTGAGGTGAGGTGAGGTGAGGTGAGGTGAGGTGAGGTGAGGTGAGGTGAGGTGAGGTGAGGTGAGGTGAGGTGAGGTGAGGTGAGGTGAGGTGAGGTGAGGTGAGGTGAGGTGGGTTCAGGTGAGTTGAGGTGGGGTCAGATGAGGTGAGGTGAGGTCAGATGAGGTGAGGTAAGGTGAGGGTTTTAACTTCACCCCATGAACAGTTCTCATTATCGAGTACCACCAGAATTTAAGTCTAGTAAGAGGGAAGGGACTCATGCAAAGAATAAATTTGCTGATTTGCAAGGTGAATATCTGACACTCAAAACCAACTTATTCCAAGCACAAGTGCAGTAATTTCCTAGGATTCTCATGTTACTTACTGGGATTTCAAAAGCAGCAGATTGAGAAGTGGTCTATTGAATTACACAACAAAAAGTAGTGTTACACTTTCATGAATTCCACATGAACATTTGTTTATAAATTATCTAAGCAACAAAGAAACATACCTGTATATATGTAAAATTACAGTTTTGGAAAAGCACAGAGCGGATGCAGTTCACACATTAAATACTACAAGTGAATTCTACCACAAAGGCCCCTTACCCTAGGAATTGGAAACACACACTTCAATGTGTGTGGATCAATCATAATATTGTATCTACATCTACAGACACATTTTATACAATGTGCTAGAAAATTAGCAGAATATATGATATCAAGTAGATACTTAAAATTTTATGGTTAAGTCATATTTCTAAGTGCGAAATGTGTTGACTTAAAAGTATACATAAATGGCCCTCCCTGGTGGCGCAGCGGGTTAAAGCACAGCACTGAGAAGCTAAAGCCACTTCCTTATGAGTTCGATTCCCGCCTACCCGGGAGGTGACCACATGGCGTGGCGGACCTCTCCTGACCCACCCGCTGCTCCCTCAGCAGTGTACTTCGTCGATCTGCCTGTTCTGCTCCCCACTCTGTCTCTGGTGAAGCCTCTCGCAGCCCCTGAGCCTCTGGCCTGTACCCCAGTTCTGTATGCACAAATAAATAAATCCTTAAAAAAAAAAAAGTATACATAAATGATGCAAAGTGTGACATGCCACTATACTGGTATACATGGGACTTTTATAGCTGAAATGTGTTTGACTTAATATAGTAACATTTGAAGGAGGTATCATGATTGCACATATTTTACTGAAATATTTCTCTGCTAAGGGTGGGAAAGAGGAAAGTACACCACCACCAACTCTCTCTTGTCTCTATTCAGGACCCAGGGTAGGAAAACCCATTGTTTCCTTGCAGTAACCACAGGTTTTAGGAACCTTAACGCTAATTAATGTGATTAATTTATTTCTATGGAGAAGTTCTAGTCTCTCTCAATCTGAAATGTTTAAAGTCACTACAATATTTCCTGTTCTAAGTCATTGTCTTGGGCTTCTTAGGTGATGTGTGGGATCTATGCCTTAAGAGTTAAAATGCTGAAAAATCTTTTAGGTGAATAAATGACTCAGAACAAACAGTGGCAAGTTTTTATAAGCAGTCTATCTTATTCACAATGGGAGATCAACAATTACAGTAATTGAGAGGTAATAATGAAACAGGCCTATTCACATGTAAATAGGTTGTTTTAAAATGATTTAATACCCATTTCAAAGCCTTAAAACCTCATTCACACTTAATATTTACTGAATATGTTGGCACCAGAGATATGCTGGATTCTCAAGACACAAAAATGAATTATAAAATTACAACATATCTATATATGTTAAAAAGTTGTGTTCAAGAAACAGAAACCAGGCAAATACAATAAACTGTCAGGAAAGGAAGTGGGACTATAAAGGCTTCAGAGAAGAAGTGATCATCTGACTATGTTTTGACATAGTCCCTGTACTAGACAGAAGAAAAAGAAGCCAGAAATCTGAGATGGGGCTGAATAGTCCAAAGAGTAATTTTAAAGTACAATGGGGAGAAAGGGAAAAGAAGGGAAAAAAAGTTTTCAGGGCCCAAGAATCACACCATTAGACCAAGAACATGCTAAGTAATTTAATCTTAGAAACAGAAAACAAATACTGAAGGATTTTGGTGAATGACATGTTCAAATCCAACATGATCTCTCTCCTACAGACCCTATTCCTAAATATATCTATAGTTTCTGAAATACTTAGCCATAAATCAATAAGCTCAGAAGTAGGGGATGCTAGGAAAATGTAGTGATATGAAACTTTATCATTCTCCACCATTTAATTAGTATTTGAGTGATCTCAGCTATTTAAACACAAAATTAACTTTGGCATTTCTACTAATTATTTGTCTTTACTTTGACAGTAATAGCTAATATGGGATTTCTGGTTGCTGGGATTCCTAAAAGTTGCCATCCTATAAAGATGGGCCCTCTGAACACAGTTCTACATGGTATAAAAGCACAACATAACTTTTTCTGTATTGAATCTTGTGTGTCTTTAGCTAATGAACAGGAAACTAATGAAACAGCAATACTGGTAGCCCAAATCTGGCAACTCCTAGATAAAAAAAAAAAAAAAAAAAAAAAAAACTTAACTATAAAGAATAAGTACAATATATATAATAAATACATAAATACTAAATGCCAGCTGCAAAGAAAATGACTGCCACTTGAGTCTTTGTGACAAGGGAAAGAATGATGAGGCTGTATGGAAACTTTTGGACCAGTGAACAAAATGAACTGAGGGAAAGATTTCAAAGCATTCCAAAATGAACCCCCAAACTCACAATCTGTATAAAAGCAGTCATTTTATATGAACTTTCATAAATGTCACAACACACTTGACTGTTGCTAGAATGTGCAAAAAGTCCCAATACTGGCAAGTAACAAAGGTATTCATTTGATGAAAATAGATGAACTTTTTTGTCTTTGTCATTTTGTTGAAAACTTTTAATGATGGCAGTGCACTTTAAGAGCCAATTCACTCACTAAGCATATCCTCCCAAGTGAAAAGGGTAAAGGTACTCTTGAGAACGGAGAGTCAATACAGATAGTTCATTATGCAAATAAACATTGTACTTAACATCTATACTTGTACCACTATGCCATTAAAATAACTTCACCCTGTAATGAGTGTCTGCAGTAAGCTCAAAGTACATCTCATCATCTGACATTAAGGTCCAGGAAATTATCTCAACAGAGGCAGTTGGTAACTACTAAAGACTGAGGAGTAAAAGCCTTTGTTCCCTCATAAAGCTTAATGACACTGCATTATCTAGTACAAGTCATTCAGTGTTACTAAAGAATAGACGCCTCAGCAGACAACCACATATATCATTTAATATCAAATGTAAATATTGCCTCCTAACCTAGTGTCCTGAGTCCTAAATAAAGTGAGAGAAAAGACAAGCATACAATATTTTTACACGTCCTTTCTCTACTTACTTTAGAGAAAGAACAATCAGTAATCACTTACATTAACAAGAGACTCTTTAAATTTGATGTGAAGTCTGTAATTAGAAAGGGCAATGATGGCATCCTCAGCACGGCCTACAAATTCTGTACTTTCTCCATGAAGTTCAAGGAAAGGAACCTTCAAAGCAGAAGAAACCATTCAGAGTTCTGAAGCAGTAAAGCAAAATATTCACATGGATGCCATATCAAACAAAACAGTGCATAACAGGACAGTGGACCAAAAGAACCGCAAGATTCAATATACCTAGTTATTCAAATTTATGACTACCTAAGCAATAACAAACATGATCACCTCATTGAATTCTCTGGAAACAGTCTTTATTTTTACTTTTTTTCCAGCTTTCATTTTTACTATGAGAACGGCTTAGAAAAAAATATATAATGCATTACTTCAGTCCAATAGCTCTCCTAATTTGCTATGGTGATGCTAAGCATTTTATATTCAAAGGTAACTTGTAATTACCTGAAGATTCTCATCCTCCCGGATCAGCTGCTTCCTGGGAAAGATCTGATTGGCCTGGATGCACTCAAGACTGTGCCGAGTCTCTTCATCCTGGAAAAATCCAAAACCTTTAAATAACTTCAAAGCTTCTAGTCATTCACATTGATTTTTCCACATCTAGGAACATAATCAAAATGAAGAGTCCAATGACTAAGATCAATAACCAAAAAGCTCAAGGAAAAAATATTTACCATCCCCCAAAGTGATCCATCTAATCTTTAGGTACTTAGCAAGGAACACACAGACACCCTGTGCCCCAAAAGAACATTTCTATAAAACACTAACAAGTTGTTAATACATGACTTATTTTGAGAAACCAAGAAGTGATTCTCCTCCTCTGTAAATTACTACCCTAAGTCCTTATTTTTGAAAGCTACATAAGAATGAAATGATAGGAGGTTTGGGATTTACTTTAAAATAAGTGTAGGGTGGACCTTCCTGGTGGCCTAGGGGTTAAGTCAAGCACTGCCACCATGACAGACCTCCAGGCAAAGTGGACTGAGTTCAATCTCCAGCCAGGGAGCTGACCCACATGGCACAGCAGACCTCTCCTGTTTGATCCACTGCTCTCCTCAACAGTGTATTTCAGTGGATCTGCCTGTTCTGCCCCCTACTCCGTCTCTAGTGAATCCTCTCTAACCCCTGTACCTCTGGCCTGCACCCCAGTTCTTCTACACTAAAATAAAATAAAAATCTTAGAATAAAGGAATAATTCTTTTAAAAAATTATAGGGGGATGGGTAATGATTAATTAATAGGGTATAAACAAAACATCCATCCACGAGCAATAACTGATGAAACTCGTTAAGCAGGAGTTCAGTGTATCACTGTGTCTACTTTTGGTTATATGAAATTTCCACAATAAGTTTCCACAATAAGTTATTTTCAATGTAAGTTTAAGAACCAAACCAAAATGTATAAACTATTATCCTTGACTTATTCTTAGATTACAGAATAGATTTATTTCTAGTAAGGCAATTTCAAAAGAAGCAGCAATAAATTCTTATCTCAAGGGCACTTAATTCAACTAATTATAATTTATATTTTGAATGTAGTCTTTTGCATTATAATGTTTATGCTATAGAAACACAAAAGAATCCTACACTGCTGGTAGGAATGCAAACTCATACAACCCCTATGGTAAGCTGTTTGGAAGTTTCTCAAACTGCTAAAAATGGAGCTTCCATATGATCCAGCAATTAATTACACTCCTAGGTATCTACCCAAAGGACACAAAAACATTAATTCAAAAGGACACCTGCACCTCTATGTTTATTGCTGCACTATTTATAATAGGGAAGCTATGACATCCACCCAAATGCCCAAAAAATAGATGACTAGATCAAGATGAGGTACATACATTATGGAATATTACTCAGCAATCAAAAAGATAAAATCTTGCTATTTGCAGCAACATGGATGGAGCTGGAAGATCATGCTTAGTGAAATAAGCCAGAAAGAAAAAGAAAAATACTGGATGGTTTCACCCATAGCAGGAGCATATGGGAGCGGGGGTTAAAAAAAAAAAAAAAAGACAAACAAATGTAATAGAGTAAAAATGAAAACAGTGAACAATTATAAGCCACAGACATTTTATGGGGCTGGAAGAGGGAATGAGATCGGAACTGGGGTAGGAAGAGTACACTGGACTGTGGTGATAGCACATGGGTGAACTGGTGATGAGAAACCCATGGGGATTAGAACTGAGATGAAAAAATGCACAAAATAAATACAGATGTAAAAAAATTAAAATATATATAATAAAAAGAAAACAAACAAAAACTGGAGAAGAGCACAAGGGGTCATGGTGGTGTCACATGGGCGAATTGGTGGTGGGTAGTCCACGGGGATTACAACCAAGTTGAAAGTAATGTACAAAATAATGATGTAAAAAGAACATATACATACATACACACACACATATATATAAATAATAACTATACATAACAAAAAAATAACTAGGAGAGTAGTATAATCAAATGGAAAGCTTGACTTTATAAATTATGATGGGAAAATAGATTATGATTGAATTTTTTTTACACATCAAATTTTATAATAGCAAAAACCATCACATTTCACCAAATACTAGTAATAACCTCTAGATAGTGGACATTTTCACATATGCTGCTGATTACAATTCCAACAATTCTTTGTAATGTCTCAGAGAAAAAGTCCTACCTGTTAAGTAACACAACTTTATCCAAAGCAACCTTAACCATAACACAATTAATATTCTACTAGCATGGTGCTTAAAGTGGCGTCTGCAGATTCTGAGACCTCTTCAGGGAATTCTACATAGTCAAAACCACTTTCACAACAATGCTAAGACATTATTTGCCTTTTTCATTGTCATGCACGTCCTTTATCATAACAATGCAAAAAGAAATCATGGATAACACTGCTAGCACCCAAGCACAATGAAGGTGGTGGTGCTATTTCACTCAGAATGTCATTGATAAAGGGAAGAAAATAATAAACTTTATTAAATTTTGACCATTAAAATTCTCTTTATATAGGAAACACACATGAAACATTTCTACTGCATACCAAGTATTACGATTGACTCTAGGTAAAGTGTGTATACAACTATTTCACTTGTTGAACTAGCTACTTTTTCATTAAGTACCATTTTTAATTGAAAGAACTGATAAATTATGGTAATTCAAATGGAATATTTGGCAGATCTTTTCACCAAAGGCATTATTCACTGCCAACAATAAAGCTATTGTGCAAAAGTTAGAATTCTGGAACCTCTGTCTGGAACCATCAACTTCACAGCTCTCTAATGTTTTTCTGAAAACATCAGTGGTCACAGTATCTAATGTGATTTTTAAAAGAACTTGTCTAGTGAACTGTCTACATTTGGAGGATCTTTATTACTTAGTCACTATTTTCAAAATACCAATATATAATGTCACAAAATTATGCATGGACAAAAGATCCATTTAAAATTCAAGACAGACCAATGGTTTTAATTTAAAAGAATATAAAAAGTTCAGTATCATTTCAGATTCCTTATTGCAATTTAGCTTTAAAGAATGACTACTTGTCAAGTTTTGGTATAATGTTGCAGGAAAAATATAAACAATTATCTGGAAAAGCTATTAAAACATTCTTTTTCTGATTACATATATGTGTGAAGCTGGAGTTACTTTGCATATTTCAAACAATATTTTAATAGATTGACCACAGAAGTAAATGAGAATTTACCTATATCTATTAAGTCCAACAATGTTATTTACATTAACATTTCCTTGGTTTACTGTAATTTTTAAATGAATATCTGAACATTTTAAAGACTTCCCAGCTTTAATTTCTAATATAGTAAAAATAGGTGACAGGCACTATGTAAATGAAAATACTTTGGGATCTGCAACGAGTTAAGAATGTAAAAAGCATTTTAAGTACAAGTAGTTTGAGAATTACTGCTCACTATATTTCAATTCAAATACCCAATTAAAACTGTTCCACTTGAGATGAGATATCCTCTAAAGCCATTCTCCTAGCGTTAATCTATGGCATGAAAAGCCATACTGAAACCTGAATGAAAACCAGCCATCTATCATGCAAATTACAGCCAGCATCTTGGATACAAGCTGACTGAGCCCACTCCATCCTCAATAAAGGGCTATTTTATTTTGAGGCATAAGCTTTTTCAAGGGTCTTAAGAAGTCTGATATTTTAAATGTAGAAAGAAGTTAGTGGCTTCAAATTCTAAAAATGAAAAGTGTAAGAACTTTATAAATGGTTCATGCACAAAATGCTATGCAAAGCTACCAAATTTCAGCAATTATTAAATACTTGTGTTGTATTTGAAAATAGTATGTTTAACATCTTCAATTTCATAAGACTGCTAGGTATTCATGAGGATTGTCAAGAAATTATAGCTTGTAACCAAATAACTCCAAAAAAAAGGCTATTCAAAATCTATTCAGTTTCTTAGAGTACAAAAAAATTTAATTAGTGCATTTTAGTAAGATAATATGCTGTGGCTTGAAGCCTCCAAAAATGTAATCACAAAGCTTATAAATGACTTCAGTCCTACAATCACCAAAATAACTGTTAGCTGAAGAGTTTTCTATCAATCCATTTCATTTCATCCCTTTCCAATCATTTCTTCTAAGGTCAACATTTGGGTGAAGGGGTAAGGGATAAAGTCACATTTGAAAGGAATTCATTCTTCTCTATATTAGTTTTTTTTTCCTTTTTAACCAATTTTATTTCCATTATAAGAGCTAGCTCTTGACTTAAACAACAGTGAGTAGTTTTACTCTGAACTTAAAAGATGAAGAATCTTGAGTTTAGAGAAACCCTACTTATAAATCAACAGGAGACAGATAAGAAATGAGAAATAAAAGTACGTGTTGAGTATACCTTCTCAGCACACACTAACTTGTTACCACACATTAAAGCATAAGGCTCAAAATCTTACTCTCTTCAAGATGACTTCAAAGAGATACCCTTTATTTCAGTGGTTCCATGACCCCGTTTTTTACTGATCTTTAAAGCAGCACAAAACTCAAATAAAGTGGCAGTTTAAAAAAAGAGAGAGAAAAGTCATTTACCAATTTACTCTTGCTGTCACACTCACTCAGGTACTAATCCAGACCGGTTTATGTAACCAAAGTATGCTACTGAAAATGGAATGATTTTTTTACTTTAAGAGAAGTGAGAATTGGGGCAGCAAGACAGGAACTTGATGTAATTTTTCAAATCAAATCAATGTTTGTGTGTGTTTTTTTTTTAAGATTTATTTATGCTTACAGAACTGGAGTATAGGCCAGAGGTGTGGTAGGTGAGAGAATTCACCAGAGACAGAGTGGGGAGCAGAACAGGCAGACTGGCAAAGTACACTGCTGAGGTGAGCAGCAGGCAGGTCAGAAGAGGTCTGCCACGCTATTTGGGTCAACTCCCTGGCTGGGGATCGAACTCGTGGTGCACTGGCTACCAAGAGCTTCATAATATGGTGCTTTAAACCCATTGCACCACCAGGGAGAGCTCCAATGTTCTTTTTTAAAAACTATTTAAGCTCACATTACCTTTAAGGAAAATTATTTTTTCTCCCTTGTATATAAAAGTGCATTTAATCCCCAAGGACAAATATTCACTGACTTCCAGAAGAACGATAATTCAAAAAACATTACTTGTCTAACATAAGTTGAATTAAGTGCTTATAAGTTTCTGAGTTTCACATTTGAAAAAGGAGGTCAAACTTGAGATAGTTGATAGAATAAGGAATTGGAAAGAGATATGAGAAGGAAAAAACAAATTGGGAAGTATTGACCAGAAAATAGACCCAGAAACACATTTCTCCTGTGTTGTAAGCCCATAACTGTATGGTCAATTTCCTTAAACTGCTAAGGAACATCACAAATGTCGGGGGATCTGGCACATCTCAAGTCACTTCTACCTTTGTTAAGGTCAGTGGAGTCACCTGGAAAATCTTGAAAAGGGGTTAGTCACCACAGTTCTGGGCTAAGTTTCTGCTATTGGCTAAACTATGCAGGTATTAGTCCACACCTGAGAAGGGAAGTCAATGTCAGAATTACTGGAAGAACACAGGGAAGCAGAGACTGCTCAAAATTACTGTTGACTAAATTAATACCTAGTGTTCCAGGATTTTAAAAAGCCCTATCTACTTCTGAGCATGAAATGTGTAAAAACACTTGGTAAACTGTAAAACTGAAAGTAATTATCAGTGACATGGTCAGCCCTAGTCACTCTTAAGTTGGTAACAAAGACCACCAAAAACACATTCTTCCTTAATGCAATGCTTGGGATTTGTTTCAAACTAATCCAAAGAGGGGGTAGAGAAACAGATGTAAAAAGGGTAACCCCAAATTGATGACAACTGCAACTGTTTGACAAGTACATGAAGATTCATTATACTATTCTCTCTTTATACAGGTCTGAGATTTTCCAAAGGAGAACATTTTCCTAGTGTTTAATGTTTAACTTCCCCAAAATAGCCTTCAATCTCATTTAAGAACCTCTGGAAGTATGAGATTATACAGAGGTATACTTTTTTTAAAAAGAAAATTCAGTGCTCCTGAATTCTCTATACAAAGGAACACAACCTAAATGTTTAAGCGATAGAATATATTAATTGGATGGTATTAATTAAATCAATGTATAGAGAAAAATGAACAACTTTATTTAATGGAAATTCAAGACAGCAAAATAAAATCAACTGAAAAATGTTCAGTTCACTTTGAAATAAGTAACACTTAACAGAAAACTGTCTTAATACATGGCCTAGCAAGGAATGTAACTATGGGGTCTAGTGGTAGACTGTAAATGTGTACTTGTTAAAACTTGCTATAATGCTGACTTATGAGAAATTGGAAAAAAAAGAAAAGAAAAAAAGACATAGTCGGACTGTTCTCCGACTACAACAACACAAAAGCATCTACAAAGCACACAAGGAGACTATCAGGAGGGCACTACAGAGAACTCAACAGCACAATGATGAGGATCACATCGTTGCTAGTTATACAGTATACAGTCATAGACAACCCATAAGTAAAGAACAGAATACCTTTCATAAGTCCATCATTTGCTATTCATTAGCTCTGGTATACATACTATATAAATACTAGCAAACACTTTTTCAACTCATTTAAAACTGGGAAAACCAATATAATATATCCTAAAGCAATATTAAAATTCTGAAATCTGTGTTTGGATACCTGATACCTCACAAAGTTGTAATGCCCACAAACTAAGCTTTAAGACCAGCTACCTTTCTCTTAATATGACATTTCTGAACAACGAGCTCTTCTGTTTTGTTTTACTTTGCTTTTAAAGCAAAGCATTTTTCACCCATGTCCCTAATAAAATTAACAATCTTTTCAATTCCTTCTTTGTGTGCCAGTATGAAAGAGTTTGAAACCAGCAGAACAATATTACAGAGGACCATTTCTTTTTTAAGCCTTGAAGCACTGTTTACATAGTCTCAGGATTAATGCAAATGTGCTTAGCACACTGCTCCATTTTCTCTGTCGTAACTGGAACCTAAGTGGTCCACAAGTCACTGAAATGTCTTTCATATGTTCCTCTCAGTCAAAGATATAGACAGGAAAAGTGTTCTTGAGGATACAAATATTGCCTTAGAGTAGGGAAGATAGGCAACTGTTTCTATCCAGAAA